GGTTCAAATCCCAGCACCTACATGGCAGCTAACAACTGTCCATAACTCCAGACCCAGGGGATCTGACAGCCTCTTCTGACCTCTGAGGGCATTGCATGACGTAGGTGCATTTACCTACATGCAGGCAATACACGCATACACATAAAAATGATTTTTAAGAAATTTATATTATTTAATCAGACACTGAGTTAAGCATGATTTCATATATTAGAAAAATCATATTCAGGGTCTGGGGAGGTGGTTGAGTTGTTAAAGTGCTTGCCATGCAAACATGAGGACCTGGGTTTGATCCCCAGCACCCACATAAAGATAGAAAAAGAACTGACTCCACAAAGTTGTCCTCTGACCTCAGCATGCGAACTGTAGCACGTGTGCCTATACACAAACACAAACACGTACACACTCACTAATGATAAAAAAAATTAAAAGTCAGGTGTGATGGCTTGGGCTTGTAATCCTAGTGCAGGGAAGGTAGAGACAGGTGGATCCCTGGGACTTGGTGATCAGCCACTTTAGCATAATCCAGGAGCCCCAGGTCCCAGTGAAAGACCCTGTCTCAAAAAACAAGGTGGTCAGCTCCTGAAGACCAACACTGGGGGTTGACCTTTGGCTTCAACACATGTGCACACACATTTACATGTAACTGTACACACACACACACACACCACAATAGCGTGGGTGTAGATGGTGGCATACACCTGTGATCCTACCTACTTTGGAGGCTGTGGCCAGAAGAATCTGGAGTTCATAGCTAGCCTTGCATACATATGGAGATGGCTTCACAAAACAGAGCGAAACAAAATTTATATCTCAGAAGATCGCTACAGGGAATAAATAGTAGAGTTCTTACAGACTGGTAAGCACAAAATGCTAGGAGGTTCTGTGGGGCTGGATGGCAAGGGAACTTATAGTATCCTAGCCAGGAGGGCCCCTTGCTTCAAAATCTTTGGACATCTGGCCTGACAGGATTTGATCTCTGGTGCAATAGTGGTATGAATTTATGGAAGTAACCAATCACTGTCTAATTGAATTTAAGGTCTACTTTATTAGATAGAGCACATATCTGACATTGATATCAGACCTAGAAACATATATCTAGACAGGCCACAGGCCATTGGGGAGACCCTAATGCTATTATTCTGCTAAATAGATATAATATTAAAGCAATTCCTAATAATTTATCATTCTACCCATAGATTAATGCATCACTCAACTCTCAGCAGAGAAGCTTCCTTCTGCAGAAGATGGTGATTAACACAGAAATCTGTAGCTGGCCACTACCATGTAGAAAATAAGAGACTGCAGAGTGTTTATCTCTGATTTGGGCAGCTATATTAAACGTCTGCCTTCCAAGGCTCAGGGATCTTTGTGGAAGAGGTGGCAGAAAGATTATAAAAGCCAGAGGTAGTGGGTGACCACAAAGAAACAGAGTTTTCCACACCACTGGAGAATTAGTCATACGAACTCACAGCAATGGTGATAGCATGCACAAGCACCATGTAAGCTCAAGCTACACACAATGCCAACATAGACATGGGGAAGTGGGTAAGAAATCCCAGCACTACCTGACAACTGACGACTGCTGGGAAGGAGAGATTCAGTCTTGTTTAAGGGTGAGACTCTTAGTAGGCTGACCAGTGGATAAACCGAAACTGAATGGCATTTGGGGACATAAACCTGACTTTATAGGCGTGTGTGTGTGTGTACAAAATTTGGTGGAAGCTTACAAAGGGGGTGTGTAGATATAGGAAGGGATCTAAATATGATCAAAATATAATCTATGAAATTTGCAAAAGTTCAATTAAAAATTTAATTTACAAGGGAGAAAGAAATCCAACCTGAGGAACTATTGGAAACCAATGGCTTCTGAGAAAGAGAAGATCTCTTTTCAGGGTAGAACTCTTGGTAGGTTAACCAGGCTCCACAGTGTGGATGGATCCACACTAAAGGACATTTAGGGACACAAAATTTGACCCTATAGGCTCATGGGCAGGGATAGTAAGGAGGGGTGCAGATAGGGGAGGGGATTTAAATCTGGTCAAACTATATTGTATGAAATTCACAAAAATTCAATAAAGAAAAAAAAAAGAAATCTTGGACACAGTAAGAACAAGATGAGTGAGGAAGGAGAACTGCCTTCTGGGTCAGCCCCCAGCGTCCAGCATCCTTCCTCTCCCTTCTGTTCCTTTCTGTGGAGATGTCACATGGGACCCAGGACTCAGCCTTTTCTCTGTGGGGAAGGCCACTGCCCCCTGTCTGGTAGGCTGAGGAGGTGAACAAGTGTCCTCTACTGTTCAGAATGAGAATTGCAGCAGCTGGTCCCAGCCATGTGGATGATGGTGACCCGCACTCGTTTCAACCTTGCTGACAATGTTGTGAAAAATCCCACGGTCTTTCCTTTTCAGTGAGAGGGACACTGAGACAAGAGTGTCTAGGTAACTCTGCTATGGATTGAACAGGTGCCTCCAATCAAGCCCTCTGAAAAAGATGACTCCTTAATCCCAGGCCATTTCAGCTGGCAGATACTCCCATGACTCCCACTGTTTGAAGTGGCCTCCATGTCTTCTGGGTGTACTCTGGGCTGGCCTATTAAAGGAAGAGAAGGGAAAGTGGAAGTGAAGGAAATTTCTCGTCCAGGACAGGGCTGGCCCCTCCTTGGAGCTCTAAACACAGATTTGGGGAGCTGGCAGCTTTTGCAGTGGGAGAAAGAAAAGGCCCTTGATCTGCATTGTTATGTAATATTCACTCATTTATTCACACAGTAATCCACCATGTGCTGGGTGCAGGGCTGCAAATGTGAGTGACTCCAGAGAAAAGGAGAGAAAGGAGCAAGGAGCCTCTCAGCGGGGGCCAGGCTCCTGCAGTGGCCCAGCTCCCAGCCATCTCAGCCACAGAAGCTAGAGAAGAGGGGGAGTCAGATGCCTCTCCCACCAAGCCAAAGAAATCTGCTAAGGCTGCCAACTCCCCTCTCCAGTGCAGATCATCCTCCTTCCAGTACTTTCCTCTGGAGTATGAGTGTATGTGTGGGGCGGGGGGAGGGGGGGGCAGCATATCAAGAACCCTGGAGGCTAGATACAGCTCAGACAAGTGACCTGACAGGACCCCAGGGACCTGCCCTCCTCATGACACCTTCCCTGGAGTGCAACTTTCTTCTATAGAGGACACCTGGGCTGAGTGTGTTGAGAATCAGATCATCGAACCAAGGTCCTTCCCCAGGCCTCATTTTGGGGCTTTACCTTGGCCTTCTGTGATGGGCAGTGTGTATGTTTGGGGAGGGATGACCCATCTTACTCTTTTTCTCCCAGATGTTATTTGATGACATTTAGGGAAACAATGGGATTAAAGGTGTGCATGTCTCCTAAACCAATAGATTCCACAATTCCAATAAATTTCTTTTTTTTTTTTTCTGTCTTTTTGAGACATGGTCTCCCTGTAGCCCCAGCTGGCCTGGAAGAACTCACTATGTAGAGCAGGCTGGCCTTGAACTCACAGAGATCCGCCTGCTTCTGCCTCCCAAGTGCTGGGATTTAAGGCTTGAGGCCATGTCGGGTTCTTAATTTTAATTAAGAGAAATATTCTAAGCCAGGTTGTGGTGGCACACGCCTTTGATCCCAGCATTCAGGAGGCAGAGGCAGGTGGACCTCTGTGAGACTGAGGCCAGCCTGGTCTACATAGTGAGTTCCAGGCCAGCCAGGGCTACATAATGAGAAGTTGGAGGGAGGAAGGAAAGGAGGGAGAGGGATGTGTGGCGGGGTAGGGGGGACGACGACAGACCAGGGATTCCTTCGTTCATTCATTTATATTCACAAGTATTGTGGATCAGTCTGAGCAGTAGGGATGTAGCAATGATCAAGAAAGGGCTCTGCTGTGTGGCACATGCACATGCACCAGCACTCTCCAGGCAGAGGCAGCTGAGATCGAAGCCAGCCTGGAGCTAGCTTGGGCTATGGGAGACCCAGTCTCAAAACAACAAAAACAAACAAGACAGAGTCCTGCAGGCTGGTAGATTCTTCTTGTGCTGATGCTCACTGTGGACTACTAGGAGGGACAGACACTAAGGAATAAGCTCCTTCACAAACTTTCATGCAAGAGAGTAAGCTTCAAAGGAACCAAAGAAGAGGTTATGAAAGAGGTGTATGCAGTATCAGAGTATTTAGAGAATTCACTTTTCCTTAGGGGTTGAGTGAGTGTGAGAGTCTGTCTCCTCTGGCCTCTTAACCAACTTTGGCAGCTTTGGACTCAGAGGAAAGAATCCTGGGATTCGAGGGCTCTGGATACAGCCAGTTCTTTGGAATCCGTTAAGAGGTGGGGGTATTTAGATACTGCATCAGAGAAAAGGAAACAAGTACCGAGAAAACCTGTTTATCGCCTTCCGTGGGTGTAATAAAACTCCCCTCCTCCGATTATTTTTTTTTTCCTTTATGCATCTTGCCCACACGTACCAGGTCCTCAACCACTCATTCTACAAACTTTTTGAGCCCACTGTGCACTGCTACCGGCCCTGAGCAGAGAAATAAGACTATAGCACTTCTATAGGAATGATTTCTTGCAGCGCAAAGCTTGTAAGCCACCAACGCCCCATTTCATCCTTCCCCCTCAACAGTGTTTTTGAGATTCATGGCTGTTGATTCACAGAGCTCCATTAGCTCCAGGAGGGCAGATACGAACTTTCCCATTTTACAAATAAGGAAAAACTATGACTGCTGGATGGGGGAGCAGGACACAACGAATGGCTGGATCTGCGGCGACTAAAAATGCCACCAGGACGCCGCCGGGCCACGTGAAACTGCGCATCTGGCTCCTCGAGATCCCACCCGCGCACTCTCCTGCCTTCCCTCCCAGCCGCGCCGCGCCGGGTCCACGTGTGTGTGTCTGTGTGCGGAATGGGGACGGGGGCGGTGCCGCCGGGGGGGTGGGGCCTTGGCGACGTCACTGGCCGAGGCGCCCAATCAGCGGCGGGCTCGGAGCGGCGGCGCTGGTATTGGGGCAGCGAGGGGGCAGTTCTCTATAACGCGGTCTCCGGGAGCCAGCGGGGAAGAAAGAAGCCGAGAGGGCGGAAGGCGCCCTCCCCGCCGCCTGGGCCCGGGCACCGGGTGCCGGGCCGGGGTCCTTCCCGCCTCCCGCTGCCGCCGGCCGCTTTGTTTGTCCCCGCCTGGGCGTTTCGGGTGACTGGAGAGGGGCTCACGCCCGGCGCTGCGCCCGGAACGCGGCGGCAGGAAGCGCTACCGATCGCGCCGGGGACTCGCGGGGACCCAGGAGTCCGGCCGCTGGGAGGGCCTCTGGACCAGATCGCCGAGGGGGCCGGAACGCCGCGGCGGCCTCGGGCGGCGGGCCCCGGGCGCCCGTGAGCACAGACCTCCCCGTCGACGGGGGGCGATGTTCCCCTGGCCCGTGGGCTCTTCGGGCAGCCGGGGCATCCCGCCGTTGGGACCAGGGCCCCCTCAGTGGGCGCCCCCCCAGGCTGCTCCATGGAGACTCTGTGTCCCCCTCCGCGCCTGGCGGTGCCCGCGTCCCCGCGGGGGTCGCCCTGCTCGCCCACGCCCCGGAAGCCGCGTCGGGGGACCCAGGAGTTCTCCCCGCTGTGCCTGCGTGCGCTCGCCTTCTGCGCCCTAGCCAAACCCCGGGCGTCCGCCCTGGGCCTGGGGTCCGGCGTGCAGCTGGGCTCCCGGGCCTCCCCGTGCACCGGCGGCTGGGCCGCGGATGGCCTGAGGCACCTCGGGGGACAGGCCGGCCGGCCCAGCGACCCGAGCTCCCTGGCCCGCGAAGATGCAAACGTCGCGGTGTGCCCGGGCGGCGGAGAGGAGGAAGAGGGCGGAGGCAGCTTCCCGCATTTCGGCGCCGGCTCCTGCGCACCTCCGGGCCGCTGCCCCGCGCCCCGGCGTCCTCGGGAATTTTGGACCAACTCCGCCTCATCTCCGCCCAGGCCAGACCCGGGTCTCCAGTCCCAGCCTGATGCAGCTTGCAGTCGGCCTCTACAGTCCAGTTCCCGGCCTCCGCCGCCACCTGTGGGCCTCTCCCCGGATCCCGCAGTTTCCGAGCAGCCTCCGCCGGGCTCGGCGGCCGCAGCCAATGGAAACCTCCCGCCCGCCGCCCCTGAGGCGGCAGCAGTTAGCAGCCCCTCGACGGCTGCCGCAGCTCCGGCCGCGCCCGGCGATCTCCGCCAGGAACATTTCAATCGCCTGATACGCCGCTCGAAACTTTGGTGTTACGCGAAGGGCTTCGCCCTGGACACTCCGAGTTTGCGCCGGGGCCTCGAGCGGCTGCCAGCCAAAACCCGGGGAGCCGGCAAGAAACGCCGACGACCCGCACCGCCCCCGCGCAGCGTTCAGCCCCGCCGCCCTACCCCGACGCTCCCGACCACCGGCACCTTCAGCCTCCTCGAATGCTTCCCCTGTCCCCCGGCCCTGGTGGTGGAGGAGGACGGAGACCTAGGGCCAGCATCCTCTCTACGCCTCCAGGGAGACGCTAAGCCGCCGCCAGCCCACCCGCTGTGGAGGTGGCAGATGGGGGGGCCCGCTGTCCCTGAGCCCCCGGGCCTCAAATCTTGGTGGGTCAACTTGGAAGAACTATGAGCTGGGACCTCTTCTGCCAAGGGGGAAAGTTGGGGCCACGGGCAAACTGCGGGCTCCAGAAGAGAGCCTCGTTTCTCGCATTTGTTCTCTTCCTTTGCGTTTTTGTGGACTGTGGGCCTTAAATGACAGTGATCTTAAGGACTTCAACTGACAGTGATCTTTAGGCACCTGAGAGGTCGAGGTGATGTTCCCACGAATTCAACTTTGCAGAAGCACGCAAGGCTGGCGTCCCTGGGGAACAAGTTTAACTGCAGAAAGAAGGCTGCTTGACCTGGATTCCAGTTCCTCCATCACAGCTCTCCTGGGCAGGCCCTTCACCCTGGGGAAGCAAGGCTCAAAGACCAAAAAAAGGGACAGAGGGACCTTGGTGATGGACAAACTGTGTCTGAGGGCCAGCTTGGGGCTATGGGGGCTGTGGTGTGTTAGGAAGGTGATTGGCAGCTTCCTGGGGGCATCCCCCACCCCCACTGCCCAAACCTTTGAACCCTTTACTCCCTTGGGCCTTCTGGCAACCCTGGAGCCATAATGGGAGGGCAAACCAAGCCCTTTTCTTTCCCTAGTCCTTCCACCCCCAAGTTCAGGTGGTTCCCCTCATTGATTAGAGCTTCAGTCTCAGCCATCAAATTTTCTCTTTTGTCCACTTTTGAAGTCTTCCTTAGCCATAAGGTTTGATGAGTGAAAGAGAATGTCTCCCACTCCAGTGTTGTCCTCTTACTCAGAGAGGGCTGAGAGACTCTTATTATACCATCTCCAAGGCTGACTTAACCTGGAAAAGGGACTAGAGACTCTCGCAAAGTCATGGAAGGTGGAAGAAATAAAAATCAGACCAAACAAGTCCTCCCCACCGATTTATGGATAGGAGTGGGTGGAGCTGCCTGAGGCTTTGGACACCCACACTCAGCCCCCTTGAATCCTGGGGACAACATGCCACAGAGGGGTAAATGAAAGGGTTCTTGGCCTCAAGGGCCTCCTGGGGTTTGAAGGGAACCTGGGCTGGGCTACCTTCAGTTTTCTCTAGCCTCAGGCATTTTGGGAGTTGTCAGGGATCTGATGGATCCGAAGGGGGGCAGGGCCTGGGGATTAGGTTTGGGGTCAGAGGTTCTGTTTTGCAGGCAGAAAGGAGATAGGCCTGGACCACGCCCCAGCCAGCACTCCTTGAGTTTGAGGAATGAAAAGTCTTCTCCACACAGGGAGACCTGGTCTAAGGTTGGGTGAGGTTTACAGGGCAGCTGTGCTTTCAGATCTGCCAGTGGTCCAGGCACCCAGTGGCCTGTCTGCCTGCCCTGCACAAGTGAGTAGTGCCCCTATGCCCCTCCCAAATTGGGGTGAGGGAGGATCACATTCCTACATGTGACACTGGGGAAGGACTTGTCTCCTTTTCTGTGAAAATGCTTTGTAAAATGTTGTTATTGTTTGCATAGAGCAGATTCTTAAGAAAAACTCTTAAAAACTCAAGTGTGTTTTCAAAGCTGTTTCATTTTTCTTGGGGTGGGGTGGGGTAGGAATGGGGTGGGTGGGGGATTCAGCTCTTTTTCTCCAACATCTGGCCTTTGTGAACCCTCTGACCTCCCTTCCCCCCTCCAGCTGTGACCTGGGGAGGGAAAGGGAAGAAGAGGGGATGATTACTGGGAGAGATTGGGAAAAGTGGACTCGGGGTTTGTGGGAAGATTCTGAAGTTTGGTGGAGTGGTGTAATGAGTTTTGTACTTTTCAACCTGCCTGGAGTTAGGGACAAACAAGGTAGCTCTGGGCAGGGGACAAAAAGGGGTACAAGACACAAGACCCCATCTCTGCAGGGCAGGGATGGGTAGCTTGGCTCCCTTCCCCCCACTGGAAGAGTTTATCCTCCATCTGACACCTTTTGGTCAGACCTAGAACTCCCCTGAGAGGAAGGTTTAGATTTTAGATCTCAGAGCTCCAAGATCTCTAGAAACTTCTAGTCATTTTACAGAGTAGGGAGCTAAAGTTGGTTTTAGATCTACCATGGCAACAGCAGAGGAAATGGTTTTAAAACAGGATTTCTGCTCATACTGGAGCAGGTCAGGATAAAATGACAGCGGCAGGGGCTGTGCTGCTCCAGAAGGCTCTAGGGGAGAGTTCCTTCCTCACTTCCCAGCTTCTAGTGGCCCCAGGATCCTCCACCTTGCCTTTACAGGGTCTCTCCTTTCCTAAGGACGTTTGTCATTGACTTGAGAGCCCACCCAGTATTCCAGGTTGATTCAGTTTAACAGCTTTATTATTATTATTATTATTATTATTATTATTATTATTGTTGTTTTTGTCTTTTTGAGACAGGGTCTCTCTGTAGCTCCAACTGGCTTGGAACTTGCTATGTAGATCAGGCTGGCCTTGAACTCACATAGAGATCTGCCTGCCTCTACCTCCCAAGTGCTGGGATTAAAGACATTTGCCACCACACCTGGCTTCAGTTTATCAGCTTTATTTCAAGACTTCCTCCCTCCTCTTTTCCTTTTCTTTTCTTTCTTGTTTTGAGACTGGATCTGGCTATGTAGCCCTGGCTGGCCTGGGTGATTATGTAGACTAGGTTGGACTCAAACTTGCTGTGATTCTCCTGCCTCTGTTTCCTAAGGTACCACTACACCTGGCAAGATAACGTTTTTGTTTTTTTGTTTTGTTTTTTTTTTTTTTTGAGACAGGGTCACCCTGTAGCCCCAGCTGTCCTGGAACTCACTATGTAGACCAGGCTGGCCTTGAATTCACAGAGATCCGCCTGCCTCTGCCTCCCAAGTGCTGGGATTAAAGGTGTGTGTCACCACCACCACACCTGGTAAGGTACCTTTTCTAAGTAAGGTCACAGTCACAAGTTCTAGAAGGCTTGGGTTAGAACATATCTTTGGGGATTCTACCATTCAGCCCACTACAGAACAGTCCCAGAAAAAGAAAGTTGCTGAGGGTCCATGATAGAGCATGCATTGGATTGGGATACACATAGATCCTCCTCAGCTAAGGCCACAGTTCCTTATAGGGGTAACCTGGGGGAAAAGACCTCTTGCTTTCCCCAGGCTGACCCTGAGAGTACCAGGATGCCTCTCTTTTGGTCACTGTACCAGAACCCCTATAAGGGGCAGGGGAAATGAGCTGGGCCACCCCACATGCCCCTTTTCCCTCTAGTTTGTCAGGAATGGTAAGATTAAAGGTCTTGGTTTCTACCAGTCTTTTTTTGAGACAGGGATTCATGTAGCCTAGGCTAACTCATTATATAGCTAAAGCTGCCCTTCCTGCCTCTGCCACCTGAGTGCTCTACATACCACTCCCAACTCACTGACTGTCTCTTAAGTCCTCTTCATTTCAAGTGTCCCCGAGGATTTCCACACCAGGGCCTCTGGGTTTGTTTTTCCCTCCCTGGAGTCTCTGTAGGGCCCCACTCCCTCCTCCCTGCTTCCCATCTCCTCCCTCTGGCAATCTCAGCTGCCTCCAGGCTCTCTGCCCCTTACCCCTTAAGCCTCTGCAGCCTGACTTCTGCCACAGAAACTGCTTTTGCCAGCGTCATCATGACAGTCCCACTTAAATATCCAATAGCTGCTCCCTGCCTCCACCTCTGGACTTCTTTGTGGCCTATGACACCGCTCAACACTCCCAGTGCTGGCCTGGTTCTCTCCAAAGGTCCTTCATCTATCTCTTCCATACCTTCTCAGGAAGCCTTGAAAAGGGGGAGTTTCCTGATGCCCAGTAGCACCTTTCACCTGCTGCCACCTACCAGGACTCCCTCTATCCCTTTCTTCTTTGAGCTCCTCCTCTGAGCTTTGGTTTCCTATCTTTGAGTGGACACTGGCACCTCCTCTCCCTAAAGTCTCTTCCTCTGCCCAGTCAGTTCTGGTCAAGTCTCCATCCTGGTTTTCCACATCATCTTCCTGAGACCTGGCTCCTTGAATTGAGGGCAACTCCTCATAACCCCAATTCTTCTAGTTCCAAACTGTACCCCTCCTCACCTCCAAGATCTCATTCCTCATTCTTTCTCTCCCTTGCTTCCTCCCTCCCTCCCTCCTTCCCTCCCTCCCTCCCTCCTTTGAGGGGTCTCACTATGTAAGCTTAACTGGCCTAGCACTAAAAATCTTCCTGTCCCAGACTCCCAAGTGCTGGGATTATGGGGGTCAGCATCATGCCCACTACTTCCCTGCACCTCTTACACCCACCATCCCCAATCCTACATGACCCTGAGCTGCCTGTAGCCTGGACTATTGCATTAGCTCCCTCCCTAGTCTTTGAATGTGTGTTTTCTCTGACCCTTTCCCATCAGTTTACCTTCTTACTCAGTAGGTACCCTGACTTTATTAAATATAACCTCCTTGTCCTGTCATTTGGGGCTTTGTGTTTGGCCTTGAACCTCCTGTCCAGCCTGGACTCCTTGATGCACAGTGGGATCTACCAAACCAGAATAGACTTCCTTCCTTCTACACCCACCCCTTTACCTCTATTCTCCAAAGTCCATTTAAAATGACATCTTTTCAGTGGGTGGGGTTGCACACGCCTTTAATCCCAGCACTTGGGAAGTAGAGGCAGTCAGATCTCTTTGAGTTCGAAGCCAGGCTGGTCTACAGAGTGAGTTCCAGCTGGGGTTACAGGGAGACCATGTCTCAAAAAAAAACTTAGCAAAAGACCCTGCTTTAAAAAA